AAGGTGTTATTTTCACATTTAATAGTTTCTCTCATAACAAAAACCATGTCTTCCAGTTCTACTGTCAGAAATTTGCTAAAATCTTTACTCAGATTATAGCCAAGTTCTCAAATATAGTCCCAGATGATATTTTACAAAATAAAATCTATGGAAAAATCCCGCATCTGTTCCCCTGGGTCGGGCTCGTTTCCCCTCGGGGTGACAGAGGGGCCACCATTCCTTCTGCCTTGTTACACGTCAGCGTGGATTTTCAGCAGAGGAGAGTGACTCAGTCTCCATGACAACTTGCACCGCAGTCCAGCTGATGAAGAGCAAAGAAAGGACCCGTTCCAGGCCCCCTGCCCTGTAGGACCCTACACCCAGACCCAGGGGTCTCTGCACCTCCACCTGCAGAAACGCGAGGTTTCTCCAGCTCGGGGCTTCTCAGAATTAGACCCACCTTGGCGCTGCATCAGGAAATAACTTTTGATTTACGATGTATTATCTTCCTCCTCCCTCCCAAAGCCTTGCACAGACTGTGGATATGCTCATTCCAGAAGGGTTTGTCAGCTGTTAAAATAAACACGGGCCGTGTGCCCTGACACAGACAGACACACAGCACAAAACCCCCAGGAAAATGAGGCAACAGGAGGCCAATAAATGAAATGTAGCGTCTTGCCACTTTAACTCCTTAAGAGAAAAAAAGGCTTTCCGAGGAATTCATATAGAAAGGGGGATGTAAAGGGTATTTGCTCTAAACAGAGTCTAGTGTTGCTTATTAAGTCAGAGTGGGTCTGTTGGAAAACAAGGGTTACTGGGCGTCAGCTCTGTGGGCCAAACGTTTTCATGGTTTATTAAGAGCTGTAGTAGGACCCTGTCAGTCCATGGCTGTTTTTTACAAGACTTCTAAGTACCATACACGAAATTATATTTCCCAACACATCAGCGCTGCAAACAGACCAGGTCCCAGCTGGCCCCCAAGGCAGCTGCTGTACACCACAGTCCCCCGGATGGGTCCCAGGCCACTTCTCTCCACCTGCAGGAAGATCTCAAGAAAGGGTGACACTGGCTACCGGTGGGGAGGGCTGCCTCGGAGGAAGACCCCCCATAGCCCGCTGTGCCGTTTACATTTCGTATCGTGTAGCTGAGCCTTTTCCTTCAACAAATACAAACATTTTAAGTGGTTCTGCTTTGTTTGCTTAAGGAAAACAACTATGGTTCAGAAACTCTGTTGTTTTAGAAGGGAGCCCGTCCCTCTTGAAGGAGAACCAGAAACAAGTCTAGATAACTCAAAGTTGGAACCTCAGCTCAGTTACCAGAGACCTTCGGGTGCTGCAGCTGAACAAAGAAACGAGAACGTAGGTGGCTGACAAAATCACCCAATTGACTGAAAAGCTGCAGACCTGTGCCAGACCCCCCCCCCCATTCCCTGGAGAGCGCCTCCACCCCATGTGAGCAGGAGCCTGTGGTTACCAAAGGAACGCCTTACCGGGATTACTGAAAATAGCAAGAGCCGCCACCTCGCAACCAGTGGGAGCTTGGTCTTGGAGGATGCAGCCGGGTCCGAATTCTGAGCCTTGGAAGGGCAGGGCCAGAGAACCAGGAGGGGCTTGGGTGGCCTGGGGGCGCTCCCAGAGCTGGTGAGATGGTAGATACTGAGCTAGAATTCCTTAGGGGAAATGAGGGGCTAGACTGGGAGGTGCTGAAGAACATTCGTTCATTCACACACACACATGCCATTTGGAGGATGCACCTGGCAGGCCAGCTGGGGAGATGGGTGAAATGAGATCCAGCACAAGCTAATGGGAGTCAAGCCCAAGCAGGTGGGACTACGGCAGCAGAGCTAGTCTGGGCTTCGGTAGCAAGAGACAAGTCCCCAGGAAAAAGCAAGACAGGCCAGGGAGTCTGATCTGGATTTCCTAGTGGTTACAAACACGAGAACTGCTGTGTAGACTGCAAAGCAGGGAGCCTGTTCCAGGAAGTGCAGCATGGGGTGCGGGGGACCCCCGTACACAGGGAGCTGCATAGTCCTCTAACGGAGGGTTCCTCCTTGTCAGGGTGCAGGGGCGGGGGGGGGGGGGGGGAGGCTGGAAGCACACAGCCAGGACCCAGCAGGAGAGAGCGTAACAGAGGCACGTTCTTTAAATACACAGGCACCTTCAGAGACTTTTCCACATTCTCTTTATTTTCTCCAACCATACTTCCTTAAATATATCTATGCATGTATGTTGTCTTTTAACTTGTATATTTATTGCCATTTTGAAGGTTGAAGGTGTACTGCGAAGTATGTAGTGTCACTAGAGAACACAGTTGAGCTCTGTTGCAGCTGTTCCTTAAATCAGACTAATGCCACGATTTCCTGCCACCGCAGCAGATTGACCCAGGAGCGAAACTGCTGCTGCTCCTCCCAAGACCTGAAACCTTATAGGTCTGTCAAGTAGACATGTCTGTTTGCGGGTAATGCAAATGCTCTGGAATCAGATAGCGGTGGGCATTGCACCACCACTGCTGAGCGGTGTCCTTTTAAAGAGAGTTTTATGGTATGTGAATTACATCTCGAATTTAAAAAGAGAGAATGTACCCAGGTGCAAAGTCACAGTAAGCCTGCCCTGGCCAGGTTTTCTTAGTGGTTAGAGCGTTGGCCTGCGGACCAGAGAGTCCCGGGTTCGGTTCCCGCTAAGGGTATGTACCTCGGTTGCAGTTTGTCCCCGGTCCTGGTTAGGTCGTGTGGGTGGCAGCCAGTTGATGTGTTACTCTCATATTGATGTTTCTCTCTCTCTTCCTCCCTCTCTGCCTCCCGCTCTATCTGAAGATAAATGCAAAAATGTCCTCGGGTGAGGATAAAAAAAAAAGTCACATAAACTGAGGAGACAGAAATGGATTCTAAGGAATAGTCTGTGAAAATCTGGTTAGGAGCTAGGACCTCTGGAATGGGGGACTTCCCCATTTTTCCCCTGGGGTGAAAGTCTGTGTTGGACGATGGGTGGGTTGAATGAATCGCAGCCACACTGCTCAGCGGGTAAAGACACTGTCCCCACGCCCACAGGAACCAGGGTCTGGAGCCCAGGGCACGGCCAACAGCACCTATGTTCCCAAGCAGCTGCTTCAGGGGTAGCCTGTATCAAATTCCCCTAAAAAGAACCTTTGTGTGCGTGTAACCCCAAGCATGCGCTTATCTCTCAGACTGCTGCAGCTCCCTTGTGGGGCAGAAGTGACTGATAAGCTTTCTCATCAGAGACGCGGCCCAACCGCGCAGTTATCACTTGCCTGTCATCAGTATTGTCGCAGGGTTCACATGAATCCTATTAGGCGGATGTGTGCCAGCCTCGTCCCGTTTACCTCTGTGCACCTGCTGCCTCCCTTCTACGTGCGTGCTTGACTGTGCCCGACAGGGGGCGCAGCAGCCTGCAGAGACATGGAGCCTGTAAAAACGAGAAAGACCAGAAGGGGGCGGTGTCCTGACTGCTGGGTCGTCATTCTTCCTAGTTTCCTCTGGGCTCGCGGGGCTGTCCTTGAGCCCCTGTCGAGCAGTGAATGCAGGGGAGCACCCAGTTCTCGTGACCCGGTGTTCGCCGGGTCTGGGAGGCAAGTCCGGGTACAACCTTTTTGGCACATCTGCCTTCAGGAACACATTTGACTTTCTTATCAACCTCCAAGTACCGTCCCTCCCGTGAGCCCTTTGCAGGGCCGGCTGGGGTCAGAGAGGTCCGGTCGGCTGCACCCCGCACCCCCTCAGCTAGCCTGGGTTTTTCTGGGCGTGGTGCTCTCTTGATGAAACTTCCTTCCATAACTGAGGCATTCTGACGATGTGGCTGCTTCTGGGCGGTTCTGTACCTTCCATCCACGTACAGAGGAAGTCCTCTGCATCATTGTGTGCATCTCCCCGCCCTGCTGAGGGAGGGCATTGCCACCCGCGTGCCTTTCAGTCATCGGTGCCTCTGTCTGAAGTGTTCTTACTGTCTTTTCTAAAACTGATTTGAGAGAGAGAGAGAAAGAGATAGAGAAACATCAATTGGCTGCCTCCGGCTCCCCCTACTGGGGATCAAGCCCACAACCCCAGGCATGTGCCCTGACCAGGAATCGAACAGGCAACCTCCGGGCGCATGGGACAATGCTCAGCCCACTGAGCCACACCGGCCGGGGCTGTTCATACTATATTAAAGAAGTTTTCCTTACCTCTGTGTCTGCCTCCACCTCCCAGTTCCCTTTTCCTCATCTGGCCGATTACTATTTACCTGTGCGGCTGAGCCCACCTGTCATGCCCTGTGGGACACTAGCCCCAGCCTTCTTCAGGGATGTAGGGTGCAAGGGGCCTCCATCATAGCACACACTCAGGTGTGTAAGTTTCCGGAGGGCGGCAAGGTGTGTAAGTTTGCACCCGGGACCCCGAGGGGAACTCGTCCCTTGGAATGGCATAATTTGGTGCCAGTTCAGCCAAACGCAGCTATTCAGTTTCACTTCATTTCTACGTGACGACCTGTCAACAGGCGCGTGTGTGTTTCTGACAGTGAGAAAGCCGATAGGAAGAGCGTGTCTGTGGCACACAGATAAGAATCTCTGGGTGAATGTAAAGGACTTGGGGTTTTGGTCTGTTTTACTTACACAGGCAGATTTGGAAGTGAGCATTTGTATGAGAATCATACAGAAAGGAAGCTGGGGCTCAAAAAGCTTGAGCAGTTGGTCCAGGTCCCAGCAGGTATGCATTCGGGACTCCTCGCTCTGGGCCCACACGGTTCCTGTCATAGCGTGCTGGTCCACGCTTTAAAATTCTCTGCAAGTTTAAAATGTTAGAAGGTAAGCAGTGTTAAACATCGCCTAGAAATCAGAGGTAGCTTGTCAGACCCAATGTGAGATCCCCTAGAATAATATACAGGGGTGGGCAAAAGTAAGTCGACTGTTGCAGCACGTGAAACAGTGTATTCTTATATTACTGATCAGTTACTTTATTGTTTACCATACAAACAACTGCAAGCCTACTTTTTACCGTACATGCTAAGGGGCCTCATTGTGTTCTCCTACAGTTTATGACCAAGTCGATGGAGCTCGACGGAGCATGTCATCCACCCTGTGACCCACAGAAGTGGGACCAGTTTTGTAGGTGGTTTTCAAACTTCTGCGTCCAGTTTGTCAATTGTCCTTTGATGCGTCGCCTTGCCATGAGCATAACCAAAATATTTGTAAATGTTTAAGTGGATTTTCACACCAGGATCTGTTGATTATATACATTCTTAGGGGGAACTGGGCTAGAATAGGAAAGTGTCATCTTGAGGGGGTGGGTAATATTACATAGAGCAATTTCAGGGCTGTTTATGGTGTTTTCTTATGTTTTTACCAAATGTGATTTGATGATTGTTTGTTCGTTTTACTTTGCTTTATCCAGAAAGAACTTGTGCATAAGCTCTGCCTAATGTTTGTTTTCTTTCAGGTGACTTTTCAGATCACCCCTCCATGCGCCAGCGACAGGCATTACGTGCATTTGGGACGGTGCTGCAACAAATGTGAGCCAGGTCTGTGCTGCTGCGCCACCCGGCGGCGTCCCTCACACGGGCTGGGGCTCTGTTCTTTTTAGTCTAAGGAATGATTTCTGTCTGCCAGATGAAAAGCGAAATTGGACGGACTTCTCATGGTGGTGCCGGCGGTAATGTCCGCCTCTCTGAAGACAAAAGCCTGTCTCTCAGAAGATAAGAGCACTTAAAAATCAAAAGCAATTTCTGAAACTGGTACTTAAGTCATGCCGGAACACCGTTTTCCAAAACACTAGTTTTTGAGAAGACAAGAAGGCTTTTAAAGGCATGTTTTGGCATTTTGTGGTTCAAATTCTCAAAATATGAAATTCAGCCCTGGCTGGTTTGGCTCAGCGGTTAGTGTCGGCCCGCGGACCGGAGAGTCCCAGGTTCGGTTCCCGCTAAGGGCACGTACCTCGGTTGCAGTTTGTTCCCAGACCTGGTTGGGGTTGTGTGGGTGGCAACCAGTCGATGTGTCTCTCTCATATAGATGTTTCTCTCTCTCTCTTTTCCCCCTTCTCTCCCTCCCGCTCTATCTGAAGATAAATGCAAAAATATCCTTGGGTGAGGATAAAAAAAAAAAAGAAAGAAATTCAACTCTTACTGAAAAGTGTCATCACAGAATAATTTGGTGGTGGTGGGGGGGGGGTAACCATACCAGAATTGTTGCTGCTGAAATCGCCTAAACCCTGTTATACTTTCTCCCCACATACATACCTGCTGAGGGGCAGAAGGAGGGCTGGTGACAAGGACTTCCCCAAATTGTTCTGTGGGAATGTGGCCACATATTTCTACAGCCCCAATGACCTCCCAAGTCCACTCACTGCTCTGGGGAGGGGAGCATATCTTTGAGGGAATGGTGGTTACTTTATAACGAGACCCTGCAGATATTTCAGCTACCAATATTTCTGGATGTGCAGAACCAAGATCCACTGTGCATGTGCGCGTGCGCGCATGTGTGTGTGTGTGTGTGTGTGTAAGACTCTCTGATCAAACTAAGTTAACCATGAGCTCGCAGTATATGTAGGACAGAGGAAGGTAGCTATCTAGATTGATGGTAGGGGGATTTTGAAGATGGGAGGGGTGAAGTGATGGCCCTCTTGCTTAGCCCCCAGAGAACCCCTCCAGGTCTGCAGGCACCAGTTTGCAAACCATTGTTCTTTACCTTACTCAGCAGAATTTTGGTGCAAAGGGCAATCGTTCACATGGAACTAAAAGGCGCCTGTGACCACAGGCACAGCAGACCCAGAGAGGCGATTTTAGCCACTGGAGGGCCTGAGGAATCCAGCACCGAGAGATGTGGCCTTGTCTCCTGTATCATGCTGTCTCTGGGGGACTTCCTGGGATCATGGTCACATAAATGATCCAGTAGATTGGAGCATTTTTTGTTGTTTCGTTTTTTGGATATTTTTTATTAGAAAATATTTTTGATATTTTCCCTCTTCTAATTTAAGGAACGTATATGTCTTCCAAATGTACCACTACCTCTGAAAGTGTGTGCCTGCCCTGTGGCCAGGATGAGTACCTGGGCACCTGGAATGAAGAAGATAAATGCTTGCTGCACAAAGTTTGCGATACAGGTGAGTTCGTCACGTCCGTGGGAGTGTGGCTGATGACACAGTTTTAGACACAGCAGTGCTGCAGCTCGGGGGCAGAGGAAGACGTTTTGACCACAGACCACAGAAGGATGGGCTTTGTAGCAGCAATTCTTCGTTGAGAACTTTTGTTCTATGTTTGCTGGTCTATGTTTGCTGCAGCTTAATCATGGAACACACCTTAGAGTTGAAAAAATATTTTTCCAGTGTTTCCGTGTCTGGTGTTGTTACATCCTCACAAAAGCCCTGTGAGGTAGCCACAATGATCCCATTGTAAAGATGAAGAAAACTGAGACTAAGAGAGGTTGGATGACTTCTCCAAGGTTATCCGGTGAGAAGCAGGACTACAAGTCGGATCTTCTGCATCTCAAGTCTTTTCCCTAAACAGTACATGTTCTATTAACCCGACAGGTTGCTCTCCTTATCAGTCTGCTATAGTTTGTTGTTGTCTTTTTGCCTTGCATTTTAAAAAATTATACTTTATTTGCAGGAATCAGGATCAAAATATGCCTCTTAAGTCTCAACCTAGAAGTTCCTTTACTTCTTCTTTTTCCTTATTCCATTCGGTTTATCTGCAGGAGAAACCTTGATGCCCATCCTGTGGGGTTTCCAGTCTGATTTCTGCTGGCTGTATCTTTTGGTGCTATTTAATGCTTCTGCCTCCTACATTTCTTGTAGAGTCGTTGTGAGATCTAGAAAGCTGCTCAGACTGTTTTGTGTTTTGTTCTGCTCTTGGCAAAACTCTTGGGTAGTTGGTACAATGCAGTCATGCCAGGAACTACATAACAACTGCTTTTCTCTTTCTGTGATGTTAGCAGCTGTTGACCATCGTGGCCTAGATCTGCTTTCGTTAGGCGGTGCTTTGGTCCTGGTATTCCTTCTTCACTTCTTAGCTGCTTCACAAAGAGAAACTTTCTCCATCAGCGATTCGTTACCCTGAAGCACACTACAGTACAGGAAAGGCAGGGTGAATGCTTGCAGCTTTGTTGACCACATTTCAAAATTGTGGCTTAATCACCAAGCTTTCTCCAAAGGATTTGTATGAATACTATGAACTTGTGAATGTAGACATAGTGGAGGTGTTTCGGCCTATTGCAGTGACTAGTTTTCCTGATGCTTGGATTGTCCCACCTCCTCCGGGTGGTCCCCATCTTTGATACGACCCCAGGAGTCTTTAAGAGCTCCCTTGCCTCCCAGCTCATCTGGGGCGTTTTCTGCCCTGCTGGGACCAGGAATAATATATATTATTCAGATAGAGCAGGAGGGAGAGAGAGGAAGAAAGAGAGAGAGAAACATCGATGTGAAAGGGACACATTGAGTGGCTGCCACCCACACGACCCAACCAGGGCTGGGGACAAACCAGAACCTAAGTACGTGCACTTAGGGGGAACCAAACCTGGGTCTCTCTGGACTGCAGGCCGACACTCTAACCGCCAAGCCAAACCGGCGAGGGTGGCAAAGTATCTTATTTAGCGACCTCAATCTGGGTGCTAGGGAGGCTCATTGCTTCTGGATTGATTCTTATTTATATGTTTTTCTTTTTCCCAGTGGAAAGAACTAGGACATAAGTTTTTTTTAAAACCGTAATTTTTCTAATGTGTTAGAGACAGCTGGCAGATTTTGGTTGGAGAAGATAATATGGAAACTCCAGTGAGCAGAAGCATCTGATCAAGTCTTTTTTCTTTCCCACTGCTTAGTAATGACCTTGACTCACTGCTGTCTCTTGGAAATAAAGAATCATTTTGTCTACTGCCAAAGCTGATTAAAGCACAAAGCCTGGTTCATTCAGACAGTCAAGGATATGTCCGGCTTGCATCCCCTTACGTTCGAGTGGGGCGCTGGAATTAGGGTTGTTCAAGGAAGCGACGGTGTCCATGTGTGTGCCAGGCTTGATGTACATGTTCATACACACTGGCCTGGGCCTCAGAGAGTGCACACGGGAGGGAATGGAGATTTCTCCGGGTTCACCATCTTTGGGTTTGAAACGAATAGGTATAAGAAAAGTGCCCCCTGCTGGCTGCCACTGGAGGCGATGAAGGGAACAGGTTTTCCGTTTGTTTTTCCGTTTGAGTTGTGTTCTAATCAGTTCAGGCTGCTGTAACAGAAATCCATAGACTGAGTGGCTTAAACAACACAAGTTTACATCTTCCAGTTCTGGACACTGGAAGTCTGGGATCAGGGTGCCGGTGTGGCTGGGTTCCTGGTGAGGGCCCTCCTCCTGGTCTCCAGACAGCAGCTTTCTTGTTGTGTCCTGGCCTGCAGAGAGCAGAGAGAGGAAGCAAACTCTGTTCTCTTTCTCGTGAGGGTACTAATCCCAGTCGGAGGGCTCCACCCTCAGAACCTGATCACCTCCAAGGCCCCACCTCCTAAGACCATCACACTGAGGGTTAGGATTCAATGCAGGAATTTTGAGGGGACACAAACATCAGTCCATAGCATGCTCCTTCCTGTAAGTATTCAGGACTATGAAGTACAAGGGCTGTCTGAAGGTGGATGGGTCCTATGGAGGTAGAAGGTCTATTTTAAGTCATGTTATTGTGCTCTATCATGTGTGTGTGCCCTTGGGTGGTTGATTCTCGTTATTCAGCAAATACTGAACCGCTGTTCCAGGAGAAATACAGGTTCCTGCAAGCCTCTGGTCACAGTGTTTTTGTCAACCAATCAACACATAGTCTTGTTTTCTGCGTGTTTCTGTTTAAGGACACTTTGCTTAATAAACGCTTTGATTCATTAACATTGGACTCACAGCCAGCAGTGCTGTAACTCATGCCTGAACCAAGTGTTTCTAACACGTATTTTCTCCACAAGACACCTCACAGCCTCCTTGGGCTTAGAAGCACTGACTGCTTGGAGGACACTTTAAACAGTGAAATCACCGACAAAAAGCACAAAAACGCCAAAAAGTAGAACACTAGACCACAGAAAGGACACTCGTTTCCAGCACGGGTACTGAAACAATAAAGCGGAGGTGTCACTTTTGTTCCCCCTCACCTGGGAACACGTATGTGCAGTGAGTGGCTGGAATTTTTTGCTGTTCTGCAAAAGTACCAGGAGTATTGCTTTGGGGGCTAGGATGACATTTTATCGAGTAGGTGAAACTGCAGATGTGAATCAGTAGATAAGAAGGATCACCTGTGTGAGCATGCACCTCTCTCTCCCACAAAAACTGGAGGGAACAGGAGATGGGGGTAACAGAAGACCACTTTGCTACGTGTTGTGAGAAAAGACAAACGTGTTATCCTGAGTGAGTGGAGAGAGATGAATTTCCAAGTAGATCTTCAGGCCCAACCTCTGCACTTGTCCACTTAGCGAATTGTACAGTGGCCCTGTTCTTCCCGTGCTGAATAGTGGTGACCCTGCAGGATCTCAGGGGGAAGCCCCACGCCCCAGAAACCCCATTCTCTTGGGTCCTATCTAGCATTCATGTTAAGGCGATTTATCACATTTGAATTTACTAAAAATCGGGAAACTATGAAGTCTATTTCACATTAGCCAAAGTACTCTGCGATCATCAGCGCCCTGGTCCTTAATCTTCCTACTAACATGAAAGTTGACTTTTAAAAAGCCACAGGACCCGGTTATTGAGAGTGAAAAACACCCACTGGGATGATTTAGTGCCAGCACAGGAAGCCAGCCCAGGGGGACCGGGAGCTCCCGAAAGCCGCTGTCTGGGATGAGTCAAGGTCGGGTGGGGTGGGGCGGGCCAGGAGCCCGTGCGTCCTGGCGCGCCTGGCCACCCTCTCTGTCTGTCGCCCGCAGGCAAGGCGCTGGTGGCGGTGGAGCCCGGCAACCGGACGGCCCCGCGGCGCTGCGCCTGCACAGCCGGCTACCACTGGAGCGAGGACTGCGCCTGCTGCCGCCGCAACGCCGACTGCGCGCCCGGCCTCGGCGCCCGGCCCCCGGGTACGCTGCTTCCCGCGTCGGCCCCGCTCCCCCGCTCCGGGCCTGCGACCCCCCACAGCGGCGCCCGGGCGGCTGCCCTGCGTCCTTCACGCTCCCGGGAGCCAGGGGGCGCTGGAGGAGCTCGCGGGTCCCCTAGGCGGAGCCAGGTTTGGTTTGCAGAGGACCTGCGGGTGCTTGGCCCGCGCTCCTCCCCAGTCTCCTCCGGCTGCGAGGACTCAGGCCCCCGCCTAGGAGAGAACCCAGTGATGCAGGGGCTTCCGGCTGAAAACAAAAATCCCGTGCTCCCCCTTAGCAGAACTCTGAAAAACCCACGTCCCCCTAGCATGTGTTCAAGTTGACAGCTCACATCTTTTATTACGAATTTAAAGCGTTGCCAAGTAAGACTGAGTGATGTGATAGCAATGGGAGCACTTTCTAAAATATTCAATGCACTGTCACTACCATAGCAGTCTGATGCCCATCATCATCTATTTAAAAGTGTACTCATCGCCCGGCTGGTGTGGCTCAGTGGTTGACCCATGCCCAAGTGGTCGCTGGTTCGATTCCCGGTCAGGGCACATGCCCAGGTTGTGGGCCCAATCCCCAGTGGGGGGCGTGCAGGAGGCAGCCGATCGATGTTCTCTCTCATCCATGTTTCTATCTCTCTTTTCCTCTCCCCTCCTCTCTCTAAAATCAATAAAGGGGAGAAAAAAAAATTTTTTTTAAGTGTACTCATCACCTTAACTGTGGGAAATGTTATATAGTCTTTTCCCTCCTTTGATTTGTATTTATTTCACCTTCCCCACAGTATTTTATTCTGATGTACTTCTGTGCTTGAAGGGTTTTTACTAATCACCTTTCATATATATATATATAAATGCACCTATTTGAAATCTTAATTTAAAAAAGTTTTCTGTGACTCAAGGTAAGGGTTATACACGCTTCTGGGCTAAGTTGTTACTACAGTTATTACATACCAGATCAAAATGAATATATTTTGCTATAATAACTAGAAACATAAAGGCTTTCTAAACTTCAGAATGAATGGAGTTTTTTCCAATTAGCTCATATCTTCATGGTTGAATACAACTTATTGCTAAAATGCATTCGAATTTCACATTAATTCTGTGTCCACTGAGTGCTGAGAAACGTGTTCACTAGGCAACTAAATGGCTAAGGAAGGACTCCGGGACAGGTGTCTCGATTCTGTCAGCGCCTTGAGTTATGTGTCTCACACAGTGATGTGACATCAAAGGCAGGCTTAATGATTGCTCAGTTGAGAACTCAGCTGTGTCCTCCAGTTCTGTTGGAAGTAAGGACACAGAAATCTTTTTGACTCAGAAAAGTGTTCTTAGAGTCACTTACTTCCTGACTTCTAGGAAGTACACCAAAGTAGTTCTCTTCAAGATGTGACAAATTATTTATACCTGTTCATCTTTCCCCTAGAGGCATTTTGTTTTAACCCAGAATATTAGGATAGGGTTAGGAGAATTAAAACATTATTCATTTCAGTTCATACTGAGGAAAATGTCCATCACAGAATCTAACTGGGTCAGTTAATCCCCATTATTAAATGTATCAACTAAACCAGACAAGCTTTCTCTTAGAAAAAGTCAGACTTGATTTTTTAAAAATAATTTTAAAAAATTTTTTTGTTACAGTCGATATACAATATTACATTAGTTTCAGGTGTACAACCGTGATTAGACAGTTATACAACTTATGAAGTGATCATCCCCAAATTGACTTGATTTTTCAGTTTTTAAAATAAAGCTCCTTGCACCCTGGCCGGTTTGGCTCAGTGGTTAGAGCGTCGGCCTGTGGACTAGAGAGATCCGGGTTCGGTTCCCGCTAAGGGCACGTACCTCGGTTGCAGTTTGTCCCCGGCCCTGGTTGGGTTGTGCCGGAGGCAGCCACTCGATGTGTCCCTTTCACATCGATGTTTCTCTCTCTCTCTCTTTTCCTCTCTCTCCCTCCCACTCTGTCTGAACAAAAAGTGGAAAAATGTCCTCGGGAGAGGATAAAAATAAATAAATAAATAAAATAAAGCTCCTTGTGACAGCCAGTTTCCTTCTGAATTCTGGTTCGCAGACAGACCAGGCTCAGAACTTATGAACCAGGCCCACAAGCTTGTCACCTGCATGAACAAAGATGCTGTCGCCTTTTCTGTTTTTTTTCCGATCAATGTTCTCTCTGCCTTGCTCCTCTGGGAATGGCTCATTCTTTGGCAATAGCTGGAGGACAGAGGTGATGACATGGGTGAATGAAAATGTCACTCCTGCCCTACCTTGCACTGTACAGTTGACCCTGGAACAACATGGGTTTGAACGATGCAGGTCCACGGACGTGTGGATTTTTTAAAACTTACAGTATCGTTGCCCTGGCTGGTTTGGCACAGCGATTAGAGCGTCAGCCTGTGGTCCAGAGAGACCCATGTTCGGTTCCCGCTAAGGGCGCGTACCTCGTTGCAGTTTGTCCCCGGCCCCGGTTGGTCGTGTGGGTGGCAGCCACTCGATGTGTCCCTTTCACGTCGATGTTTCTCTCTCTCTCTCTCCCTCTTCCTCTCTCTCCTTCCCACTCTATCTGAACAAAAAATGGAGAAATGTCCTCAGATGAGGATAAAAAATAAATGAATAAGTAAATAAAAACTTACAGTATCGTTAAATACAGTACAGTATTTTCTTTTATGATTTTCTTCAGAACATTTTATTTTCCCTAGCTAACTTTATTGTAAGAATACAGTACCTCCTACATATAACCTACAAAATGTGTTCATTGTTTATGTTATTGGTAAGGCTTCCAGTCAACAGTAGGCTATTAGTAGTTAAGTTTGGGGGGAGTCAGAGTTATATACGGGTTTTTTGACTGCCCAGGGGAGTCGAATCCCCTAAACTCCACAGTGTTCAAGGGTCAACTGTATGTGAGTTTAGAACAACTCACCCTGGTTCCAGTTACCCTGTTTCTGTCGTCACACTTTAGCCCTTAATAGGCGGGGAGAGGCTGTACTGAGAGGCTCTGCCGTCACCAATATTTCCACGTGTTGCTTTGTTTGGCATCTCAGAGGTTTGACACCAGGGCAGGATTTGGAGTGGGTAAGAAGTGTGCCTCTTCTGTGCAGTGGAAGAAGTGTGATCATGAAAGGGACAGGGGACAGAGAAGGTGCAGGATGCTCCTGGCAGGTCGGTTACAAAGAGGGGACGAGGAAGCCCAGTGTAGGGAAATCCAGGAGTTTTAAGCTCTGCTGCTTTGCAGCCCTTTAGAAGTATCTTTGTTTTTAAGGGCTACTCTTCTAGAGTGTGTTTATTTTTTTTAAAAGCTGTTTGAATTTACGTGAGTGACTAGATGTTAATTAGGCTTTTGTTAATATCATTTGAAGGCAGATCAAATAGATTAAGGGGCAGGTACCCGACGTATTGAGGCAATTGCAGAAATCAAGAAGCAACTTCCTGCTTGACTCTGGACAAAGAACATGTAATTCCTGTCCTGGCCAGTGTTGCTCAGTGGTAAGAGCATTGGCCCATGCACTGAAGGGTCATGGGTTTGATTCCTAGTCAAGGACACGTACGTGTGTTGCAGGTTTGATCCCCAGTCCTAGTCAGGGTGCGTGCAGAAAGCAACCAGTCTCTCTCTCTCTCTCTCTCTCTCTCTCTCTCTCTCTCTCTCTCTCTCTCTCTCTCTCTCTCTCTCTCTCTCTCTCTCTCTCTCTCTCTCTCTCTCTCTCTCTCTCTCTCTCTCTCTCTCTCTCTCTGCTCCCTCCCTCACTCTCTCTCTTTCTCTCTGCCCCCCTAACCCTTCCACTCTTTAAAATCAATGGAAAAAATACCCTTGGGTGAGGATTTAAACAAAATGAACACGTAATTTCTTATTTTAGTGTTTAATTCATTAAAGTAAATCACAGAAGTGCTACTGATTTCAAGAGTAATTTGTAGTTTTGGTGCAAGTCAATTGCCTGATCGTGATATCACTCGGAGTCAATGTTCTTTGTTGGAATTACCAAAGGGTCAGCTCATGTCAGCAGCGGTAAAGGTAATGGACATAGGAAATCCGAGACGTTTCCTACTTCAATAATATTGTTTGCAGGGAATCTGAGAGCGTTGAAGAAAGTTTACTTAGCAGGATCAATCCCTGTTTTCAGTGCTGTGGCTTACAGCAGGGGTCCAAAATCCACCCCACCACGTGTGTTCGTGTAAATAGTCTTACCGAAACACAGCCACCTCTGTTTTTAAAAACATTGTCTGTGGCTGCTTTCACGCTCCACGTATTTGCAGCAGAGACCAGAAGGCCTGCAAAGGGTATTTATTACATGGTCCTACATAGAAAAACTTAGCTACCGACCCTTGGTTGAAGAGAAAGAGAGGAGACCTGTAGGAGTCTGTGTGTTTGTCTTGTTTTTGTTTGTTCTTTTAAGAAAACTGTTGTCACTCCCGTACTTAGACTGGTGACATCAAGCTGGTCAGAGAGGTCAGGTCAAGAAGTTGTCCTTGAAAGCAGTAAAAGGACGGCTGTTCTCTGTAGATGCAGGTTGATGTAAGCCCAGAAGGCTGAGAGGAGAGATCAGACAGGTGTTTGGTTAAAGCAAGTTGGAGGCGGGCTCCCCTGCTCGGAAATAGAGTATTGGTGACCAGGACAGGGGCTCTGAACCGCAAGGGGTCCGACCCTAACTCACATACTGGCATTAGTGGCCTGACACTGAGCCAGCTACCTTCCTGAACATAGAACCCGTACCTCCTGCTGGGGTCGTGGGCCCTCTAAAGCCTGTGGGGCTGACGCAAGGAGCCCCAGGCGGCAGCGTCAGGGAGGGATGGAGAGGCGGGAGGCAGAGGCCCAGCTCCTGATAGCTGTCCTCTGGACCATCATCCTAGCTGATCTCTAAGTGTCCTTGTTTGGTTTTTGTTTGTTCTGTTTTTCTGTTTGTTTTTTGACAGTGCAGCTCAACAAAGACACGGTGTGTGAGCCTTGCCTCGTAGGCTATTTCTCCGACGCCTTTTCTTCCACAGAAAAATGCAAACCCTGGACCAAGTAAGTGACAATGAAGGAGCCCAGAGAGTTGGTTGATTTTTCTTTCTCTCTTTTTTATCTTTATTGTTGGGAGTAGTATAAATGTCCCCTCCTTTTTACCCCCACTGCCCCCCTTCACCCTGTTCCCACTCTGCCCCAGGCCTTCACCACCACATTGTCTGTGTCCATGGGCAATGCATATATGCATATGTTCTTTGGTGAATCTCTCGCCCCCACTCCCACCCCCACCCCTCTTTCCTCTGAGATCCTTCAGTCTGTTCCATGTTTCCATGCTTCTAGTTCTATTGTATTCATCAGTTTATTTTGTTCATTAGATTTCACATATAAGTGAGATCATGTGGTATTTGTCTTTCTCTGACTGGCTTATTTCGCTTAGCATAATAATTTCTAGGAATATATCCTAAGAACCTCAAAACTCCAACCAGAAAAAATATATGCACCCCTGTGTTTATAGCAGCATTATTTACAATAGCTAAGATCTGGAAACAGCCCAAGTGCCCATCAGTAGGTGAGTGGATAAAAAAAGCAGTGGTATATTTCTACAATGGAATACTATGCAGCTGTAAAAAAGAAGGTTCTATTACCCTTTGAGTTTGTTGTTGATTTTAAACAAAACCTCCATGACCTCATCTGGAAACAGACTGATTGAGTTTGGTGAGGCTTCCTCTCAAAGCCATGTTCAAAATGGAAAAAGCCTGTCAATTCACTGTGGGCAAAAGAAACCCATCCAACCAACCCTTCAACCCAATGTGAAAGACACTACAGTGATACCTCGGTTCTCGAACATAATTCGTTCCAGGAGGACGGTCGAGAACCAAACTGTTCGAGAACCGAAGCAATGAAACCCAATAGGAAATAATGGAAACTGGAATTATTCGTTCCAAGCCCCAGAAAATGCCTATTTACTGGCCTAATTTGTATATAATATGTAGAAAAACATAAGTCTCAACAAGAAATAAAAGTGTACAGTATGTCTAAGGGTTAAATTCAGTGTAAAGCGTGACTCCACAAAGCGTGACTCTCTCTGCACTCACACTGATGCCGCAAGCAAGGCGCGCTGGGCCGAATGAACGCCATTCGGCTCAACTCGGCTCATCTCGGAAGTTCGAGTTCCAAATATTTGTTCGGATTCCAAGACAAAAGTTTCTCGAATCTCCTGGTCGAATACCGATTTGGTCGAAAGTCAAGGCGTTCGAGAACCAAGGTATCACTGTATTACTTTCTAGATTCAGTTTGACTCAGTCTTTGACTTAGAGTTGCAGCTTCTTTTTTCCCTTTTCTGACCTTATGTAGTTGAAAATGATTGCTGACCCTTGTTATCATTCACTCATCAGCCCCACTTCTCCCAGCTTCCCAACACCACGCTTTATTGTCCAGAGATGTGTGTGTGTGCGTGTGCATAAAGAAGCCTCTTGTTTACATAAATGTTTGCATACTGTAAACACCATGGGTTTTTTTTCACATAATGTATCTTGAAGGAAGCTCGTTCCATATTAGTTCACTTAGATCTTCATGGTTTTATAGCTACCTAATATTTAATTGTAGAGATGTGCCATAATTGAGTTAGTAAGTTTCCTATTGAGCCCTGGCCAGTTTGGCTCAATGGTTAGAGTGTCACCCGCGGACCAATGAGTCGTGGATTCGATTCCGGTCAAGGGCATGTACTTCGGTTGCGGTTCGTCCCTGACCCTGGTCGGGTTGTGTGGGAGGCAACCAGTCCATGTGTCCCTCTTACATCGATGTATCCCCAGGTGAGGATTAAAAAAGAAAATAGGCCTGGCCGGTTTGGCTCAGCGGTTAGAGCATCGGCCTGTGGTCCAGAAAGACCCAGGTCAGTTCCTGCTAAGGGCACGTACCTCGGCTGCAGTTTGCCCCTGGCCCTGGTTGGGTCGTGTGGGTGTCAACCACTCGATGTGTCCCTTTCACATCGATGTTTCTCTCTCTCTCTCTCTCTCTCTCTCTTCCCCTCCCACTCCATCTGAACAAAATATCGAAAAGTGTCCTCAGGTGAGGATAAAAGAAAAAAGTTTCCTATTGATAGTCATTAGGGTTGTTTCCAGTCTTGTGTAGTCATCAATCATTTTGAATGAATCATTTCATATAAACCATTTCATATTTATGTTAGTGTATCTAGAGTGGAATGTGGGTCCTTTCATTGCATGCTTGCTGTTGAATATTAATAATCAATATAGTGATTCTTTTAGTTCCCAATATATTAGTTCTCATTAAATATTTATTTTCTGATCTACTTATCCACATTTTTTTTATTAATTTATTTTTGTTACAGATGTTTCTCCCCACCACATTGACTTCCTCCTCCCTATCCCCTCCCATCCCAATCCCAGCTTTGTTGTCTATGTCCATTGGTTATGCATACATGCATATAAGTTCTGTGGTTTATCCCTTCCCTCCACCCTCCCCCTGCTTCTGAGGAATGTCAGTCTGTACCCCACTTCTATGACTCTGTGCCTATTTTGTTCGTCAATTTGTTTAGTTCATTATATTTCAGAAATAAGTGAGATCATGTGATATTTGTTTTTCTCTGCTTGGCTTCTTTCACTTAGGATAATACTGTCCAGGTCCCTCCATGTTGTCTCAAAAATAAGAGATCTTTCTTTCTTACAGCTGCATAGTACTCCATTGTGTATATGTACCACAGCTTTGTTATCCACTTGTCTACTGATGGGCACTTGGGCTGTTTCCAGATCTTAGCTATTGTAAATAGTGCTGCTATGAACATAGGGGTACACATATTGTTTCTGATTGGTGTTTCAGGCTTCTTAGGATATATTCCTAGAAGTGGGATCACTGGGTCAAGTGGCAATTTCATTTTAATTTTTTGAGGTAACACCATAGTGTTTTCCATAGTGGCTGCACCAGTCTGCATTCCCACCAGCAGTGTACTAGGGTCCCCTTTTCTCCACACCCTCACCAGCACTTGTTGTTTGATGATTTGTTGATGGCAGCCATTCTGACAGGTGTGAGGTGATACCTCATTGTTGTTTTAATACTTATCCAAGTTTTATGTTGAGAAAGTTCTCTGTGTTTTCACCTTCAGAAGAGCATTCATCAGAAGTTTACCACTTAGCAACTGAAGCCTGTGGAATCTTCTGTACTGAAGACACCACTCTGCTGTCTTTCAGACCCTACTCTTGGAGTAGCTCTTAGAGAACACTGGTGACATTTACTTTTGTCACTCATTTTTCAATGGATGACATGTGGACAGGCGCTGGGGATCCAAACATCCAGGAAGACCTGAGTTCTTCTGAAGGCGCTAACAATCTAGTGGAATAGAGCCTTTTGTAGCTTTTCTTAAAAAACAAGAATATAGCCCTGGCCAGTTTGGCTCAGCGGTTAAAGTGTTGGCCCGTGGATCAGAGACTCCCAGATTCAGTTCCCGCTAAGGGCACATATCTCAGTTGCAGTTTGTCCCCAGCCCTGGTTGAGTCGTGTGGGTGGCATCCAGTCGATGTGTCTCTCTCATGTCAATGTTTCTCTCTCTCTCTTCCTCCCTTTCTCCCTCCCACTGTATCTGAAGATAAATGATGAAAAAAAAAAAAAAGTCCTCAAGTGAGGATAAAAAACAAAAACAAAACAAACAAGAATATAAAGTGGAAGCATTTAACTCCCTTTGCCCCCACAGCTGTACCAGTCTTGGGCTGACAGAAACACATCATGGGACCGATAAATCAGATGTGACCTGTAGTTCTTCCCCGCTGTCTACAAAACTACCAAATGGTATGTTTATTTTTTCCGTTTTATTGGGGTGACACTGGTTAACAAAATTATACCGGTTTTAGGTGCACAATCCCACAAAACGTCATCTGTACACTGTATTGTGTGCTCACCACCCCAAGTCAAGTCTCCTTCCATCACCATTTACCCTCCCACCCCCTCCTCCACTTCTCCCACCCCCAGACGCTATGTTTAAATATAGCAGGCTGGTTGGTAGATGCGCCTCCGAGGCGAGAGGAAGCCCCTTATTGTGTCTCTTTCCAAGTAACAACGTAGCACAGGGTCTGCTGGTGCTGAGACCCACAGCCAGCCTGCAAAGGTTTCAGTCTCTCGTCTACAGCACAGTGTGGCCTCAACCACTTTTTCCAGCCCCTCGATCACTGCATGGCTAGAGCCCGTACACAGGGTGAGGGGAAGTGTAGGTTTACAGTTGTTTGCATGGAAAATAATGCAATAATTCATCGACAACAACAGAAGAATAAACTGTGTTTCTTATGTACTCACAACTGTAAACTACTTTTGCCCCGCCCTGTATTATAAACTCCGGGGTTACGTGACCTGGTTTGTGGGACTCTGCCTTTCCCCTCCTTCTCTCTCGTTTGAAATAACACTTCATTCCCTTGGTGATTTTTAACATTATCTTCACAATGGTCTTTTTAAAACGCTGCTCTGACTGTGTAACTCCATATCCAGTGCCTCTGATGTCCCTCCTGTCTCCCAGAATGTCAAATCTAAACCCCCGATTTTCTTAGAGTTCATTCAAACCTGTTATTCCGTGGCCCAGGTCCTCCTGCCTCATTAGAACTGTCTTCTTGACGCGAAGCCACCTCACATGCTGTGATATCGGGACCCACCTCCACCTGGCTCACTCCCCTGGACAGCCAGCAGCCACCGCTAACCGTCACTCTCTGTCACTCCTTGACACTGTACTCAAGATTAATTTGCTCTACAAAATGTTTCATAAATAGCGATAGCTATATTCTAAGAAGCTGCTAACTCTGGTTAGTGATCAAAATCTCCCACTGACACTAGTACTGCGAGCACCCTTCCATATTCGGGCTTTTTTTTTTTTTATTCTCACCCGAGGACTTTTTTTTTGCATTTGTCTTCAGATAGAGCAGGAGGGAGAGAGAAGGAAAGAGAGAGGGAGAGAAACATCAATGTGAGAGAGACACATCAACTTGTTGCCACATGACCCCAACCAGGTCCAGGGACAACCTGCAACTGAGGCACGTGCCCTTAGCGGGAACCGAACCCGGGTCTTTCTGGTCCGCGGGCTGACGCTCTAACCGCTGAGCCAAACTGGCCAGGGCTTGGACATTTTAATGTATGTTTATAGTTCACTTTTCTTTTCTGTATATACATTAGTAGTGATTCATTCCAGAGTAGGAAATTATCAAGTAAACAACATATCTGGAATTAAAATACTGACACAAATTAAATACTAAACTGACCATGGATGAGATGGACAGGAGAGATGAGCCCTCCAGAAACGGCAGGTGATCTGGGGGAAATCTCCTAGAGCTGACCCTGTCTACGGGCGCTAGCCACGCAGTGATCGAGGGGCTGGAAAAAGTGGTTGAGGCCACACTGTGCTGTAGACGAGAGACCGAAACCTCCGCAGGCTGGCTGTGGGTCTCAGCACCAGCAGACCCTGTGCTCCGTTGTTACTTGGAAAGAGGTGATAAAGGGCTTCCTCTCGCCTCAGAGGCTGGTCCCCTGGAGAGACTGAGGTGTCCATAACGTAAGCAATGGAACTGGATGGCGTGGCAACGTGATCTGAATTGCTCTGAAGTAGAAACATTTCAGGATGGTCCTGGGCTGGCTTCACTGGAGCGATGCTGGACAGGACTGGGCCACGCTGGGGACTCCGCCCTCCGGACCGGGAGGGCTGGTGACAAAGCTGGGATCAGGCTCGGGACCCTCACACTTCTCTTACTCCAGACTGGCAGCCTCGATTCTGGGGCTTGAGTTAAAGGGTCTGGTTTTTAAACTTAGAGACTCAAATGAAATCACCTTTAATCGCGTTTTTCTCACCTTCTTCCCACCCAGAGTCCCAGATGTACTTGCCCAGTGTCGTCATCCTGCTTCTGTTCGTGTCCGTCGCGTTCGTCGCTGCCGTGGTCTCTGGTGTTTACTATCGGAAGGAAGGGAAAGCACTGACAGGTACGGCGTCCGGGGCGGCTTCGGAAGATGCGTCTGATAAAGTGGAACAGCCACATTTCCAGGTGTAGCTTTGGGAGATGCGTACGTCGCCCACTGACTATATCCAGTGATCTGCTTGTATAGTTACCTTGAGGTGGTTGTGCTTAAACGAAGGTGAAACATATACCTAATTCGTCGTTCTCTGGCAAAACAAGCAAATCCTGCCCTGGCTAGTGTGGCTCAATGGTTAGAGAGGCCCACACACCGAACGAAGGGTTCAGTTTCTGATCCATGGCCCATCTCTCTCGCATCAATGTTTCTCCCTCCCTCCCTCCCTTCCACCCTTTCTAAAAGTCAGTAGAGCCCGGCCAGTGCAGCTTAGTGGTTGAGCATTGACCCGTGCACCAAGAGGTCGCTGGTTCAATTCCCTGTCAGGGCACATGCCCAGGTTGTGGGCCAAATCCCTAGTCAGGGGGCATGCCGGAGGCAGCCAATTGATGTTCTCTCATCAATGTTTCTATCTCTCTCACCCTCTCCATTCCTCTCTCTCTAAAAATCAATAAAGAAAAAAAAGTTGTAAAATAAAATAAAAATAAAAATCAATGAAAAAATATCCTTGGGTGAGGATTAACAAAAACAAACAAACAAACAAACAAACAGAATCCTTTGTGCCTATTTATGTCTAAGCAAACAAAAATACTCTTGGGTCAGGAGACTGACAACTCCTAAACCATCTGTCCGTATTGTGTAGGTTCTGGGGGTCAGGTACAGGAGTGGCATTGTTCCTAGAATATAAACATTTTTAATGTACCCAATGAAAAGAGACGAAACGTTCAGGTCAGCGGTGGAGAGAGTTTTGATTGAGGTGTTACCTTGAAATATGAATCTAAAATTATGAAAACAAGTTATCTTATGCTCAGTAAAATGTCAATGCTCATTTTGAGAATGAATAACCAAGTGTAATCTTTTTTATTGCAAATAACTTTTGTACCAAAAAATTATTTGATAGTATCTTTTTATATCACATCATGGTTGACTTTTATACTATAAAGCTAAACCGTGTAATTTTAAAGAAAGTATTCAAGGCTTCAATAAGTTTCCTGAAGATATTTCTCAATGCTTAGATAGTCACTTCATTCTCTTTTGAAGCACTGTTGTCTCACCATCCTTTCCCATTTTCAGCTGCTCACTTGTTTATCTTGCCCACCTCTGCTTTGCTGTGATTTGATCAGTTCTCCCATGTTATATCCATGGGCTTCGTGAAACCCTGCATATCTTGCTAGTTCCATTAACACTGTGTTACCTCATGGCACACTGAGCAATTAAAAGATGGATTAAAGAGGGAAGATGGTGATTGATGATGCCAGTGTTACGCAGAGAGCAATGTTAGTCCAATTTTTAAAAGTGTATTCATTATTGAGTATTTCTATTGAATACAGCTTCCCTTCCCTAATAACATCCTAACTGGGGATTTGAATAATGCATGTTCAGATGCTAGAGACCACTCATGCAGCCAAGTCTTGTAGTTAAAGGTTACTTGCTAAGGGATGGAGAACGTCCGTTGTTCTAGCAGCAGCCCTGACACCCTCAAACGTGCCCATAGGTATTCAGTGGGACATTAGTGGATCATGGTTTGCTTCGCATGGATCAGAAAGTTCTGTTTTCAATGGGAGGAGGAGGGGTAAGATGTCTTTATAGTCGTTAAATTGGTTGATTTTCTTTTGAATGTTTTCACTCTCAGGCACTCTCTCTGAAAGGCTTGTAGAGGGTTATGTTTAAAGACGATATTAAATTGACATAGTGGTCAGTGATATTGAATTAGAAACAGGAAATAATAATTGCAAAGACCTTCTCCTTCCTTTGTTTTTTCTAGCTAATTTGTGGCGCTGGGTCAATGAGGCTTGCGGCGGCCTAAGTGGAAATAAGGTAAATGTAAAAGTCTCAAATGCCTCCTTGAAGTGTTTTTAACAATTAGGCTGAGATAGTTATTAGTCAACTATTGAGCCCCATTGTGTTAAGAGGAACCTCCTTAAGGGGATGGGACCCCAAATCCCAAGGCGGATCCCCACAGAATAACCCAAAGCCCGGGTCAGTACTCATTCTAAATGCTACTTTCTTGGTCTTGCATTCTATTTCTGCCATCTGTGTGTACAGATGTTAATTGTATTATTTTTTAGTGCCAATCTTGATTGCCTGGTATACAGATTCCTACAAAGAAAGAGCTTCCATTTTCCTTTACTTTGTGGTGATTTTGGTAACTATTAATTTTTTTAAAATATGTTTTTATTGATTTTTAGATAGAGAGGAAGGAAGAGAGAGAAACATTAATGAGAGAGAAACATAGATAGGCTGCCTCCTGCACGTCCCCTACTGGAGATCGAGCCCCAGACCCAGGCCTGTGCCCTGAGCTGGAATCGAACCTGTGACCTCTTGGTGTATGAGAGGATGCTCAGTCCACTGAGCAACACCCGCTGGGCAGTAACTATTTTAATATAATTTCAAAATTATAGAGAAGCAGTGAGAATAGTACAAAGAACGTCCACTTCCACTATTTTCAGGCCCACCAATTGTTTATACCTGTCACACTGCTTTATTCGCATTCTCTTTATTATGTGTATATATTTTTCTCGGACCATGTTAGACTGAGTGGCAGACATTGTGTTCCAATGCCCTTAAACATGTCATTGTGAATTTCTTAAGAACAAGGACATTCTCTTACAGAACCAGAGTTCACTGATCAAAATCAAGAAATTTAATAGTGGTGCAATACTATTAGCTAACCCACGTTTGATATTAAAACATCACCAGCTATCTCACTATGTCCTTTAGATCTATTTTCTTAGATATAAAAAGATATATATTTTAAACCACATGCTCACACTGATTTCTCCAGCTCCTGTCCCAGCAGCACGTTCTAATGTCTCCTTGTCCGGTAGCTGAATAGTGTCTTCCTCCCCGGTAGAAAACCAGCCTCCTATTATTCTCAATAGATTTATTCACTTGCTCAGTCCCAGAATACATAGAAAGTAGTTTCAGAATTACTAAACCTACCACAGCAAAAAAAACAAAGCTAGTAACTAGGGTTAAGTATTTGTTTAGAGGTTTTGTTTTTGTTTTGTTTTTGAATTTAGCTTGCGAGTCTGTAGTCAAAATGCCGTGCTGAGGGGTGCCTCGGGCCGGCTCCTGCCCTTCACTGTGCACGTGCTATTCGCGTAAAAAGCAGATGCGTTCACTGGTTTCTGGTTGCTCCATGTTAGGGTTCTCCCCACGCTGCAGTTTCAAATAACACAATATAGGGGGTGCTCCGTCTGCACTGGTTAGGGTGGGAACGATGGCTGTAACACCGTTTTCAGCAGCGTTTGGCAGAGCTGTTCTAATAACGGGGTGTCAATGCCTGCCCCCTGGATTTTCTCCGCAGGCATCCTCGGGCAACGATTTCGGGGGCGCTCGGGTGGAAGCCGCGAGCCCACGCGAGCTCTGCGAGGGCGTCCTGCTGCTGACCCTGGAGGAGAAGGTGTTTTCTGAAGACACGTGCTGCCGGGACCCGGGTGTCTGCGGGGCCCCCTGTGCACAGGTGGGAGACGCCGGGATGCTCACCTTGGTCAGCGAGGTGGAGGGGGACCCCTTCGAGCAGATCCCCATGGAAGACGAGTACGTGGATAGGCCCCCCCAGACCGCGGACTCTTCGCTGTGCCTCGCCCAACCTGGAAGCAGATCTGCACCCCCTTTCCCCGAGCCCCTGGAAGTGGGGGAGAATGACAGTTTAAGCCAGTGCTTCGCGGGGACCGAGAGCCTGGCGGATTCCGAGAGCTGCCACTTGGCCGAGCCCCTGTGCAGGACTGTTTGGATTCCCATGTCCTCCGAAAAGTACTTACAAAAAGAAGTGGAGGCTGGCAACTGTGCCCACTGGGCCGCCTCCGGCTCGGCAGATGGCTGCACAGGCTGCGGGGACCTTCCTGGGGAGGACGGGGAGCCCCTTCTGGGCTCCCGCGAAAGTGGACCCTTGCCCCAGTGCGCCTATGGCCAGGGCCTTGTGCCCGAAGAAGCAGCTGACCCGGCAGAGGGCGGAGGCGAGCCCGGGGCTGGGGCTGATGCGAGGCCTCCCAGCGCCAGCAGGGGGGGCCCTGGGTCTGGAGGCCCCTCCAGTGACCAGCCACCTGCATCTGGTAAGTGACTCTCTTGGTCTTTCCCTTTTGAGCAAAAAGGCCTGTTCATGGTGCGGAGTTTGGGGACAAGTGTCACAGACCATTTAGGGAAAAACGATCCTAAGGTAGGAAAAATTCAGCGCCAGCATGTTCTTTGCGAAGCCTCTTTCCAGGACAGGTTGTGGTTTGGTCCTCGGGTTGGGTTTGTGGACTGTGCCCATTGTCCTGTGACTTTACCCTCTGCCACGGGGGTGTCTCTTCGTTTCTTCGTGTCCCTTTCGTGCTCAGGCCTCTCATGATGGAGTTAGACCTCCAAGCACTGACCCCCCAGAGTCAACACTGACCTTGGGACTGGCTGACATCTAGGTATTCCTTCAGATTTCTAGTTTGCTGGTGGTTGTTTTAAAGCAACCTAGGCCTCAAATCAGCCCCCAATAAAGCTCTTATACATTTCAAGGGGAACAAACAAAATTGGTTAATCTTTCATTCATTAATTTTTATCAAGAGTGGCTTGTTGGTTCTATACCAAGTTGAGGCAGGAGAGCGTCCTCGAACGCTTTCTGTGAGAAGCCCCTTCTACAGCCACCGCGTAGAATAGACTTAGGCCACCCAGAGGATAACGTCACAATTTAAATCATCATAGACATGCATCACTGCACCACTGTTTGAGCATGAATACCCACCAATTATAATAGTACAACCTTTTTTTCAGGAGGGGAAAACATCCTCTGTCTTATTATGTGGTTACAAGGAGCTGTGCTGCTGGTGGTGAGGGCTCCCTCTGCTCACTGTGGGGGTGGGCGAGAGGTGGTGTGTCAGGCATCTCTTTGAGAATATTCTGGAAGCTATAGACACTCTCCAGAAAGATGGATATATACTATTTAAGGGGCTACTACACAGAATCCTCCAACCCTCTCCCCACTCTTCCTGCACAGAATCCCATCCATGGACCACCTTGACCCTCAGCTGTTTTTCTTTTTCTTTTTTATCCTCATCCGAGGACATTTTTTCCATTTTTTGTTCAGATAGAGTGGGAGGGAGAGAGAGAGAGAGAAACATCGATGTGAAGGGACACATCGAGTGGCTGCCACCCACACAACCCAACCAGGGCTGGGAACAAACTGCAACCGAGGTACGTGCCCTTAGCGGGAATCGAACCCGGGTCTCTCTGGACCGCAGGTGACTCTCCAACCACTGAGCCAAACCGGCCAGGGCTGTTTTTCTTTTGCTTTCCTGCCCCTTATTTACTGTAAGTGGTGCTAGCAGCTGGTCTTTGAATGATTTCATAACCCTGGGTAGTTCGATCCCTGCCCTAAACCCAGAGACCTTTGCCACTATGGCTCCTGACTTACTTAAAGATGCACTTTAACCAGCTTCCTACACTTTGTGGTTTTGCTACAACCACACACATTCACTGATGTGTAAATTCTATAATGTCAATTCTCAGTCAGACCCAGAGGAGGAGATACGTTTGGGGCTATTTTTCAAAGAACTGATGTGTTTTTCCTTCGGAACATTTTTCAAAGATTTTAAGGATTTCCTTTAGTACAGTTGAGCTCTCGTGTTCTGTTTCTCTTTAGTGGTGACTTTTCTTCCCACTGGTCACTGAGACATGCAGAGTACTAGTCAGGGGAGTGGGGAGGCAGGAGCTCAGGGTGGCAGAGGCCACGTCTCGGTGACGCTGCTGGGGGCAGACCAGCTTTTCAGGTGGTGGCACCAGGAAGGGGCCGTTGGCCACTGTGTGAAAATCATCGGCAGTTCCTGGAAGACCAGTGTTGGCCACATTTAAGGAGATCTTTCTTTTCTTAGTGCAATGCAGGGCGAAGCCAGACCTGTGCTCTCCCTTGATGTAAACAGTTAAAACGGTGCCCTTGTCTGTTTTTCATTATCTTTTATTTCTCCAGCTCGAAACATCTGGGCATGGAGGGAAGGGAAAGAAAACGTATGCCACCAGCTAAGTGGCGTTAGTTTGCAAAAAGGGTAGGTTGTCCTGCCTGGTGCTTCGCCGTGCAACACCTCCGTGGGGTGCCACCTGCGATGCCAGCAGCTGGCCAAGTGCATGTCGCCCGAGATGCAGCGGCAGCCAGACTGACTGCTGAGGCTGTTCCTTCCATAATTATTTCTACATGAGCAGGCATTCTGGTTTCGGGTTAAAATAGCACTTTCTCATCACTGCTTTTAAAATATGTGTCACCATTTCTGTTCTGTAAAATGTGTGAAAGAGGATGAGGTTGGGAGAAAATTAAGAGGGGGGGCCCTGATCTTATTTGATCGTCCAAAAGCCATTGTGCTCTCAGGATTTGAAGTGGCATTTTTTATTGGGTGTTAGATTTTTCTTTGTGAGTGTTTTAAAAACGTACAACCAAATGAGTAATCATTTCCTCAGCAGGGAAGAATGTCTCTTTTGCACCCAGCATTTTTGAGGAGACCGATGGTTCTTTAAAGAGCCCTCTAAGTCTATCTTTTCAAAGTAATACCCAATGCCAAGGCTACTTTAGCAATGGTATAACTTTCAGTAAAGACCAGTGAGAATTATTAGCAAAGACCAATAAAGGGGGAGAAACATAGTTTTGGTTATATCTTACATAACCATGTCTTAAATTTACATTTTACATCATTATCCTTTTGACATGATGGTGGTTACCTTGGTTACAGCCCTTTTGCCTGGAGTTTGGGTAATTCTCACTGTATCTAGAAAATGATTTCATGCCAAAGAAAAAAACAACTGCTTATATTTTTCTTATTTATTCTTGTGTTATTATTTATGAATTATTATGTTCTTTTGTTTAATCCCTTCACCTTTTCCACCCGGCCCTCCCCTCTGACAGCTGTCAGTCTGTCTCTGTTTTGTTTGTTAGTTCATTTTGTTCATTAGATAGCACATATGAGTGAAATCATATGGTTCTTGTCTTTCTCTGACTGACTTATTTCACGTAGCATAATACCCTCCAGGTCCATCCATGCTGTCTCAAAGGGTAATATTTCCTTCTTTTTTATGGCCAAGTAGTATTCCATTGTGTGCATGTACCACAGCTTTTTTATCCACTCATCTACTGATGGACACTTGGGCTGCTTCCAAATCTTGGCTATTGTAAATAGTGCTGCTATGAACATAGGGGTACATGTATTCTTTCGAATTAGTGATTCGGGTTTCTTCAGATATATTTCCAGAAGTGGAATTGCTGGGTCATAAGGTAGTTCCATTTTTAATTTTTTCATAAAATCCTCACCCGAGGGAGGGAAAGAGAGAGAGCGAGAGAAACATCGAGGTGAGAGAGACACAATGATTAGTTGCCTCCTGAACGTCCCCCAACCCCAGGGAACTGAACCACAACTGAGGTACATGCCCTTGACCGGAATAGAACCTGGGACCCCTTGGTCGGCAGGTGGATGCTCTAACCACGGAGCAAACCGGCAAGGGCCCATTTTTAATGTTTTGAGGAAACTGCACACTGCTCTCCACAGCGGCTGCACCAGTCTGCATTCCCACCAGCAGTGCACGAGGGCTCCCTTCCTCCACACCCTCACCAGCGCTTGTTGTTTGTAGCAACTGCGTATAATTAATGTGTCTAGAGCTGGCCAGTGACTTGCTTTTGGCTCCTGGCATCACTTGGTTGGTTCAGCCACTCCTGAGCTGGAGTGATTTCTGTTTCTATTTACAGGTCCCACAATGATTCTTAATGAACACTTGCTACATATTTGTGTTTCTACCAAATCTTTATTGAGGGTCTACTGAGTCATGGAGACTTGGAAAAGCCTGGGAAACAAGTAGGGACTGAGGTCGGGGAGGGGACAACACAAAGAGAACCAGTACTTTGAGAAGGCAAAGCCGCCTCTCTCTGACCCTGGTCTGTGGTCCCCTCCACCCACTCACCCACCTATGTTTTGCCCAGTGTCAGCCCCTTTTAGCAGAAACACCTCTCACTGTCTCGACATGGTTCCCTTTTCCAGAGCACACAGTTCCTCTTGCCCTTCAAGTTCCAACTCAAGTGCTCCTTCCAAACCAGGGATGGCAAGCATGCCGCTGTGTGGCCACTGTCCCCTTCTCTGCCCCCGGCAGCCCTTCACAGTGCGTCCTGGAGTCTTTCTGACCGAGCCTGGCACACTTGAACCTCTATCAATTACCCATCTCTTGGGAGCCACAAGCAGTCTTAGGAATTACCATGACCTTTGCCACACCTGATCTTTCTAGTCTCTCCCAAGGTGGCTTGGTCACTGTATGTTAAGTGAGTGTTTATAAGCATCTTCATTCATTCATCCATCTGATCACGAATAACTAGAGAAACAGAAATCAGAGCTCCCTGCTGGTTCCCTGACTCACCCTCAGCTTCCCACTTCCTCCACGTGTTCTGGGGAGCGGGGATGGAAGGACTGGCCACCCTGGGCAGACCCAGATGTCCTGGGTAGAGGGCGCACAGACCCAAGTGGCACAGGTTGCCAAAGCCAATGCCCAGCCCTCTTACTTCCCCCATCCAGGCTCCCATCCCTGGTTCCACCCTCTCTTGAAGTGACTATTTTTGACCATCCATTTCCATCCTCAAAGAGCAGATAAAGATTTTCCTACCCCAATTTTCTTCCTTTTTCTTCCCCTCCCCTCAAGCGATAGACATTCCTCTACTTCTTTCTTCGCTCTCCTATCGGAATGCTGTCCACTAACTGTGCTTTAGTTTTAGCTACATACTGTAAGGGCTCATTGATCCTGTACGTTCAAAATATTTTATAATTTTGTTATTTGGTAATAACACTGAGCATTCGTTGATGCTAAAAGTCAATGCACTATTTCAAAATATATGAAAAATTAATTCCCTGATACTTTGTTTAATTTAGTCCTGCTTCCCTTCTCTCTGTTCTAAGGGGGCTCACTGTGGAACTGCTCCACTCATTAGCCATTGTAAGTAATTTTCAAGCCTGATTCAGAATGGAAGGAACTATTGAATACTGCTTGCCTCCCTTATCATCATACACCCGTTTCTTCCAAATGCCGAAAACAGAGCTCGCATTTTCATCAAAAGGAAAATCAT